TTTTTTCGGAAAAACTGGTCATGTGGCAACAGTGCCTTTAGAGGAACGTAGAACGGTCAATTCTGAATGGTATACAATCATTTGTTTGCCGGAAGTCTTCAGTGAAATAAGAAAAACAAACAAGCGCCGCCGGATCATTCTTCATCAAGACAATGCCAGCTGTCACACATATCGTCTAACAGCCGACTATTTGAGCACTCAAAAAATCGAAGTAATGGGTCATCCGCCATACAGTCCTGATTTGGCACCAAATGACTTCTTTTTGTTCCCGAACGTCAAGAATAAATTGCGTGGACAACGATTTTCGTCGGTAGAAGAAGCCGTTGATGCGTTCAAAGACCATATTTTGGAGGTGTCTCAAGCGGAATGGAAAAAATGCTTTGACAAGTGGTTCGAACGCATGCAAAAGTGTATTGATCATAAAAGAAAATATTTTGAAAAACAATAAATGACAAATTATTGTTTTTTTATTATTTTTATTATTAGGTTCAAAATATAAATAGTGACCGTCTACCATATAAGTATAGTCGACGCATTTGAATAAATTATTTTGTTTGTCGTTAACGATATAATATTTTATATAAATATACAACGTAGTTCAATGTAAACTTTCAGTTGTTAAATATAAATAAAAATATTATTTTCTATAAATGTAATGCTATACTAAGATTAATATATCTCTAGAGTACCCATGAAGATATAGATATATTAATAGTTAATATACTGTCCGTTTAGCGCGGTTCCTTAATCACAGCCGTTGTAGGTTAGGGATCTCACATTTCATTCACAGGTTACCAGTGGCATACTTGACAGTCTTGACACTGATATCAGTGATTATAGAGAGTAGACTAATTCTATAAGAAGATTCCGATCACGACACGCAGCGCCATTACAGACATTGCAGCGCGTTTATTGCAGATAATTAATATAATAATTAATAATCAAAAGGCACCCACAAAAACATTGAAATACTGGAGAAAAATTTATATTTTTCATATAATATTTATCTTAATTATTTT